CTAGCTTTAGCATAATAAAGAAGCTAGTATAAAATCTCTAGCTTTAGCATAATAAAGAAGCTAGTCTAAAATCTCTAGCTTTAGCATAATAAAGAAGCTAGTCTAAAATCTCTAGCTTTAGCATAATAAAGAAGCTAGTCTAAAATCTATAGCTTTAGCATAATAAAGAAGCTAGTCTAAAATATCTAGCTTTAGCATAATAAAGAAGCTAGTATAAAATCTCTAGCTTTAGCATAATAAAGAAGCTAGTCTAAAATCTCTAGCTTTAGCATAATAAAGAAGCTAGTCTAAAATCTCTAGCTTTAGCATAATAAAGAAGCTAGTCTAAAATCTCTAGCTTTAGCATAATAAAGAAGCTAGTCTAAAATCTCTAGCTTTAGCATAATAAAGAAGCTAGCATAAAATCTCTAACTTTAGCATAATAAAGAAGCTAGTATAAAATCTCTAGCTTTAGCATAATAAAGAAGCTAGTCTAAAATCTCTAGCTTTAGCATAATAAAGAAGCTAGTCTAAAATCTCTAACTTTAGCATAATAAAGAAGCTAGCATAAAATCTCTAACTTTAGCATAATAAAGAAGCTAGTATAAAATCTCTAGCTTTAGCATAATAAAGAAGCTAGTATAAAATCTCTAGCTTTAGCATAATAAAGAAGCTAGTCTAAAATCTCTAGCTTTAGCATAATAAAGAAGCTAGTATAAAATCTCTAACTTTAGCATAATAAAGAAGCTAGTATAAAATCTATAGCTTTAGCATAATAAAGAAGCTAGTCTAAAATCTCTAGCTTTAGCATAATAAAGAAGCTAGTCTAAAATCTCTAGCTTTAGCATAATAAAGAAGCTAGTCTAAAATCTCTAGCTTTAGCATAATAAAGAAGCTAGCATAAAATCTCTAGCTTTAGCATAATAAAGAAGCTAGCATAAAATCTCTAGCTTTAGCATAATAAAGAAGCTAGTCTAAAATCTCTAGCTTTAGCATAATAAAGAAGCTAGCATAAAATCTCTAGCTTTAGCATAATAAAGAAGCTAGCATAAAATCTCTAGCTTTAGCATAATAAAGAAGCTAGCATAAAATCTCTAGCTTTAGCATAATAAAGAAGCTAGTATAAAATCTCTAGCTTTAGCATAATAAAGAAGCTAGCATAAAATCTCTAGCTTTAGCATAATAAAGAAGCTAGTATAAAATCTCTAGCTTTAGCATAATAAAGAAGCTAGTCTAAAATCTCTAGCTTTAGCATAATAAAGAAGCTAGTCTAAAATCTCTAGCTTTAGCATAATAAAGAAGCTAGTATAAAATATCTAGCTTTAGCATAATAAAGAAGCTAGTATAAAATCTCTAGCTTTAGCATAATAAAGAAGCTAGTATAAAATCTCTAGCTTTAGCATAATAAAGAAGCTAGTCTAAAATCTCTAGCTTTAGCATAATAAAGAAGCTAGTATAAAATCTCTAACTTTAGCATAATAAAGAAGCTAGCATAAAATCTCTAGCTTTAGCATAATAAAGAAGCTAGTATAAAATCTCTAACTTTAGCATAATAAAGAAGCTAGCATAAAATCCCTAGCTTTAGCATAATAAAGAAGCTAGTATAAAATCTCTAGCTTTAGCATAATAAAGAAGCTAGTATAAAATCTCTAGCTTTAGCATAATAAAGAAGCTAGTATAAAATCTCTAACTTTAGCATAATAAAGAAGCTAGTATAAAATCTCTAGCTTTAGCATAATAAAGAAGCTAGTATAAAATCTCTAGCTTTAGCATAATAAAGAAGCTAGTATAAAATCTCTAGCTTTAGCATAATAAAGAAGCTAGTATAAAATCTCTAGCTTTAGCATAATAAAGAAGCTAGTATAAAATCTCTAACTTTAGCATAATAAAGAAGCTAGTATAAAATCTCTAACTTTAGCATAATAAAGAAGCTAGTCTAAAATCTCTAACTTTAGCATAATAAAGAAGCTAGTCTAAAATCTCTAACTTTAGCATAATAAAGAAGCTAGCATAAAATCTCTAGCTTTAGCATAATAAAGAAGCTAGTATAAAATCTCTAGCTTTAGCATAATAAAGAAGCTAGTCTAAAATCTCTAGCTTTAGCATAATAAAGAAGCTAGTCTAAAATCTCTAACTTTAGCATAATAAAGAAGCTAGTCTAAAATCTCTAACTTTAGCATAATAAAGAAGCTAGTCTAAAATCTCTAGCTTTAGCATAATAAAGAAGCTAGTATAAAATCTCTAGCTTTAGCATAATAAAGAAGCTAGTATAACATCTCTAGCTTTAGCATAATAAAGAAGCTAGTATAAAATCTCTAACTTTAGCATAATAAAGAAGCTAGTCTAAAATCTCTAACTTTAGCATAATAAAGAAGCTAGTATAAAATGCTGTATATTCTAGAGCAAGAAATATATAGTTGTATGCAGTGTTTCCCACAGGTTTGAAGGCAATGTGTGGTGGTCGTCGGGGGGGGGTCGGCCGGCAAAAATTAACAATGACATCGTTAATTGGTCAACGTTGTATAAACCTACTTGTTGCAAAAAATAACAATAACTTGTTGCAAAAAATAACATTATTCACACGCTGTATAAACACTATATTACACTATAAATACTGTCAACGCAGTATAAACCTACTTGTTGCAAAGTTTGCATGTTTTATCAGAGCACCTGATTTTAACTTTAAGAAAGCGTCATCGCTTGTTAAGGGAGTCGGGACGGAAATTCGACATTGACACTGAACATTCAGCACTTTTTAATGTGTGATTTACGAGATCACGGGATACCAACCTTTAGTGAACTTCACCAGCCGTCTTCTCTGCACCAAAATTAATAGACACAGCTGCTTACAGCGATGATCGCTGATGGAGACGGAGACACGCGGTGTGCACGAAGGGGAGGGGCTGTGTGTGTGTAGGTCTCTGTATGTGGGAGAGACGCGTAGCTTGAGTGAGAGTTACGAAGGGCCGCCACATTTTAAACCCCCCTCCCCGCTGTCAAATTGACCGCTGCGGCGGCACTAGACGATGCATGTTTTAAATAGCGTAACAAAAAAAATATATATATAATAATACGAAACGCAATTTGTGGCGGGCGGTCTCTAATCTGTGGCGGTGCGCCACAAATTAGTCTATGTGTGGGAAACACTGGTTGTATGTTTACATCTGTACTTCTTTTTAATACTGTGATTATTTATTTTTAATGATGCTTTGTGTGACTGTTTCCATCTTGTTTTGTTGAGTACTTTGAGTTGCCTTCTGTGTGAATTCTGCTTTTCTTGTACTTGTCTGGGTCAGAGTGACGCAGAGTATCAGTGGAGACATGTGGTTTCATATCGCACATTCTGACAGTTCAAGTCACTGCACAGATGCACGACATGTCAGGGTCAAAATAGAAAAGCAAATGTCCAGAGATTTAAGGACCCAGTCAAACATGAAGAGAGTGAATGGTACTTTCCTGTCTTTGTCAGATGGAATGCACTGAGCAGCCATTGTTGAGGAATCTGAAAACCACCTCTGCTCTGACTCAGAAATAGAACTACAATAATAAACATGGTCTGAGATCAATGCGATGACTTTACATAATAATAATCACTACTGCTAAATCCTATTTGATTTAAAGATGCAGTCAGTGATTTTTTACAGACGCATTTGTTTAAATATTGTGGAAAAACGTCCCTAAACCCTGAAAGTATTCTCCAAAAATTAATAAAAAGTATTTTGGAGCGGACCGATAAGAATAGACCAATGGGATTGGTTCATCCCCAACGAACCAATGGGATGTGTTTACCCCCTTCACCCTCTTCCTGTTTCTCATGATCGCACCGGAGTTGTCGGATTTTCTAAAACCTAAAATGGCTGAACAGAAAATGCCAATTTCACGTTTGGTCCACTCTCCCTGTTGTGACCATAGACTGTATATATTAATGGACAGAGTCAGGCCTATCTCCGCCGTTCTAACTAATGGGACAAAAAATGTGCTCTACTGGAGCAATCCAAAATGGCCGCGAGTGGTCCCGCCCACAAGAAAATTGTAAAAAAAACGCATCAGCGCATGCATCAGCCGGCACAGCTCCATTCATTTGAACGAGAGACTTCAACAGTCCACAGCGACTAAACTAGAGTGGACCAAAACACCCCCCTCAGCTTTGACACACATGTGGAACGGAGCTTTGGGCCAAGAGACAACTTTTGGTCCATCCTGTAAAGACGTTTTTGAGAGGTCTACCAACGCTATATGTTAGCATTGGCTAATTATTCTTCTGGGTCCACCCCCACAGGCCCGGGGTGGTACTGCAGCATGTCAGCGCACGTCATTTTGGCCACTTTTGAGCCAGGACCCTCCCCCACTGGTTGTGACAAAGAAAAGAAAATGCTGGATGTTTGGTTTGGTGGAGAGACGAGGGGAGGGAGAGTGGGTTCCAGTTGGTGCTACGGCTAAGCTAACGACATCACTTACTGCTCCTTTAATATCAATGAAACTGACAGATTATGATGTCACATTAGATGGATCAGTATTAGTGTGCCATGGCCAGTTAGTGCGCCTCAAGATTTTGTCTGGTGTGCCTTTGAAAATGACCATATTGGACCTAAATGAGACACAAAAAGAAAGACAAATTTTGGATGAAAGAGTGTGAGAAGATGGCAAATATATTTTTTTTCTATAAGCATGCTTCGTTATTCCATACACTTGATGATAATGTCTTTGCGTTGTTAATTAAGGCTGTGCAGTTAAATTTTTCTAAATTTTTCTTTAATGTAAAAGGGACAAAAAGATAAATAGATATCCAATCCTATCCATTTTATTTATATGATCCCTATAGTAGAGATTCAGATCCAGGCGCAGCAAAAACACATCCATCCACACAACCAAAACAAATAAATAGATAATTAAGTAGCTAACAACAGTAATAAAATGCAATTAGCTGTAATGTTGTGGTTCTTTTGTGTGTGAATGAACTCGAGTCGATCTTTTGTTCTTTATCAAATGAATAACTTCTTTTGTGTTCCATGTTTTTCCAGACATAATGAAGTCAGAGGACAGGCAGAAGCTTGCCAAGGAGAGAAGAGAGGAGAAGGCCAAATATTTGGGTGAGTAGTGCCAGAACAACGATGAGAGAGCTCCCCCTGCTGGTAGGAGGGAGAGGCTGTTGTCACTCTAGTTAAAGAGTTATTTTATTTGATTTTGATTTGATTTGATTTGATTTGATTTGATTTGATTTGATTTGATTTGATTTGATTTGATTTGATTTGATTTGATTTGATTTGATTTTATTTGATTTGATTTGATTTGATTTGATTTGATTTGATTTGATTTGATTTTATTTTATTTTATTTTATTTTATTTTATTTTATTTTATTTTATTTTATTTTATTTTATTTTATTTTATTTTATTTTATTTTATTTTATTTTATTTTATTTTATTTTATTCGATTCGATTCGATTCGATTCGATTTGATTTGATTTGTTTGATTCGATTTGTTCGATTCGATTCGATTCGATTTGATTCGATTCGATCCGATCCGATCCGATCCGATCCGATCTGATCCGATCCGATCCGATTCGGTTCGGTTCGGTTCGGTTTTGATTTGATTTGATTTGATTTAGTGCCAGAATAACTGTGAGAGAGCTCCCCCTGCTGGTAGGAGGGAGAGGCTGTTGTCACGCTGTAGTTAAAGCTCACGTTGCACTCAGATAGATTGTTTAACGCTTTGACTGCCATTGACATATTTGTCTGCGACCCTATATTCGACTGGGGATTACAGGAGATTAAAAATAGCTAAAAACAAACTTATTTTTGCTGATCAAAGTAGACAATCCAGTCTTTCAGAATCTGGTTTCACATTTCACATAGTCTGAGGAAATAATATTCTATGGGTCTTGAGAATCAGTGAAATCATCAAAAACGGCTGGCAGTCAATGAGTTAATTAAGGCCTGCACCAGTTTAATTAACCGATTATTGTTGCTGGAGTGTTTCTTTAGCTTTATTAAAAAACCCTTTGAGTGTCACTGACCAAATGAGTAGCATGAAAGCTGTACACGGCTGCTGCTTTGCATGATTGACAGCTGCTTCTGTCTTTTCTCTCACTCCTTCCCTTCCACAGAAGATCTGGGCAAGTTGCAAGGTAAGCGACGTACCTCACTGCATGTGGTGTTGGTGGTGATCACGGCCTCTTCAGCCACATTCTCCTTTGTGACTGTATTTTGTAGTTCATTTGCATTCGTATTGTTTCTGTGACTCATGTAACACACTCTTTAATGTTTTCCAAATTACTGTCTAGAGTTTCTATTATTATTATTTGTTGTTATTATATGTTATTTTTGGGGGTTTTCTTCATTTTGATCAATGGGCCCTCTCTGTTTATCAATATGAGATACACAGATATTATTATAGCCTGGTCTTATCCATCCATAAAGTCTGGTGTATGATTATTTCCTACATGTACGTCTGGTCTTACCATGTGTAAACTCTGGTCCATGGTCATTTCCTACATGTACGTCTGGTCTTACCATGTGTAAACTCTGGTCCATGGTCATTTCCTACATGTACGTCTGGTCTTACCATGTGTAAACTCTGGTCCATGGTCATTTCCTACATGTACGTCTGGTCTTACCATGTGTAAACTCTGGTCCATGGTCATTTCCTACATGTACGTCTGGTCTTACCATGTGTAAACTCTGGTCCATGGTCATTTCCTACATGTACGTCTGGTCTTACCATGTGTAAACTCTGGTTCATGATCATTTCCTACATGTACGTCTGGTCTTACCATGTGTAAACTCTGGTCCATGGTCATTTCCTACATGTACGTCTGGTCTTACCATGTGTAAACTCTGGTCCATGATCATTTCCTACATGTACGTCTGGTCTTACCATGTGTAAACTCTGGTCCATGGTCATTTCCTACATGTACGTCTGGGTCTGATCCTAGTGGCTGCAGTTTCTTCGGTTGAATCCCCTCCGACCAATCAGAGAGCGGGGGAGGCGGGTGTTGTAGGTCGTGTCGGTGACGTCAAGAGTTTGCGGCCTATTTGCTGATTGTTGTCATGGATTATAATAACGGTTGTAGTTTGTCGGAGAATGTGATAGTAAAATAATCTGTTCTGGTTCAATCCAAATATCAAGAAACTGAAGCCGGAGCAAGAGGAATGTTTAGAAAATGTCATTGAAGCAAAGATGTTGTGGCTCTACTCCCCACGGGCTCCGTTAGTGACATAGGAAATGGCTAAAGCTAGGCTAAATGCTAAAGCTAGGCTAAATGCTATATGTCTCACTCACTCGGGCTCATTACTCAGATCCAATTGTTTCAATCTGCAAAAGGAGTTAACCCCTCCCACCTGTTCACGGAGTCAATGGAGCAAATCCAGACATCAGTACAAAATGAAAAGAGTACATTGGTATGGTAAGACCAGGCTAACCTTATGGCTGCAAGTAAATAATTATCTAGTCTGTCGTTTAACATGGGTAAATCCTTCATCACACATGCATTACCAACATAACTAACCCTCAAGAAGTTAATGTTGTCTTTGTTAAAATGTATACAAAGGCAATGCTTTTTGTCTTTCAATGTATATAGTAATAAGTTTAAGAAATGCATTATTATTTTATGCATATTTCTTTTACCTCCTCACTTGTCTGCACCAAGAGCCAAAGCAATTCTAGTTTTTTCTGCTCTTGTGTGACGGGGTCTTTTTGGCGTCCGGAGGAATGGTTTTAATTGTTTGATCAGAGCAAGTGCCAGATGGTGGGTCTAATTCTCCCTCAGACCTGAATCTAAGATCTTAAGCTTGTGTTTACGATATCAGCTCGAAAGAGTCAGGAAGACATGGATTACCAGCCCTCAGCAGAATCACAGTTCAGTCACTGGAGAAACGTACACAAATACATTTTGAGTTAGAAGTGAGTCCTGTTGGTTAAATGCAGGTTGCCTCTCTCCCGCTGTTCCAATTAAATCCTATTAAATTCAATGTTGTTCTGGTATAGCCCTAAATCACAACAGTAGTTATCTCGGAGGTCTTTACGAAACCACAGAATTTGCCAAAACACAGATCAGAGAATCAAACTGTTCAAACCCACATAGAGCCTTTGGTCCATAAAGAGCAGAGACCTATGTCCAGAAATGTTGATAAAGTCCCAGTGCTCCTCTGAGTCCCAGCAGCAAAATCTAATTCCAGTTTATTAGATTCATTTACAGCCGGATCCACAGCTGATTCTGAATCTCTGAAAGTTGAGATAAACTCAGAAACCGCTGCAGATGCCACGTTTCTGCCACAGTCTGTAAACTCTGAGTAACAGCGGCCTCCTGCAGCAGCGTCTGCCGCCTCCGACCGAGACCGACCGAGACCAACCGAGGCCGACCGAGACAAAACTGAGACCAACTGAGACCAACTGAGACCAACTGAGACCAACTGAGACCAACTGAGACCAACTGAGACCAACTGAGACCAACTGAGACCAACGGCTTTGTTGCATTAAGAGCTTTAGAACGCAGACGCCGTTTATTATACAGCCCAATTCTTCACGGAGGTTTACTGTGCGGCTTTAGAAAATCACTGAGCAGGAGAAAGAGAGGAGAGAGAGGAGAGAGGGGAGAGAGAGAGGAGGCAGAAGAGAGAGGAGAGAGGGGAGGCAGAGGAGAGAGGAGAGAGAGGAGGCAGAAGAGAGAGGAGAGAGGGGAGGCAGAGGAGAGAGGAGAGAGAGGAGGCAGAAGAGAGAGGAGAGAGGGGAGGCAGAGGAGAGAGGAGAGAGAGGAGGCAGAAGAGAGAGGAGAGAGGGGAGGCAGAGGAGAGAGGAGAGAGAGGAGGCAGAAGAGAGAGGAGAGAGGGGAGGCAGAGGAGAGAGGAGAGAGAGGAGAGAGAGGAGAGAGAGGAGAGAGAGGAGAGAGTAGGCAGAGGAGAGAGGAGAGGGAGGAGGGAGAGGAGGGAGAGGAGAGAGGGGAGGCAGAGGAGAGAGAGGAGAGAGGAGGGAGAAGAGGGAGGAGGGAGAGGAGAGAGGAGGCATAGGAGAGAGTAGAGAGAGGAGGCAGAGGAGAGAGGGGAGAGAGAGAGGAGAGAGAGGAGAAAGGGGAGAGAGGAGAAAGGGGAGAGAGGGGAGAGAGGAGGCAGAGGAGAGAGGAGAGAGAGGAGGGAGGAGGCAGAGGAGAGAGAGGAGGGAGGAGGCAGAGGAGAGAGGAGAGAGAGGAGGGAGGAGGGAGTAGAGAAAGAAAAGAGAGAGGAGAGAGACGAGAGAGAGGAGGGAAAGGAGAGAGAGACGAGAGAGGAGGGAGAGGAGAGAGTAGAGAAAGAAAAATAGAGAGGAGAGAGACGAGAGAGAGAAGAGAGAGGAGAGAGAGGAGGGAGAGGAGAGAGGGGAGGCAGAGGAGAGAGGAGAAAGGAGAGAGGGGAGAAAGGGGAGAGAGGAGGCAGAGGAGAGAGTAGAGAGAGGAGGGAGAGGAGAGAGGGGAGGCAGAGGAGAGAGGGGAGAGAGAGAGGAGAGAGAGGAGAAAGGGGAGAAAGGGGAGAGAGGAGAGAGAGGAGAAAGGGGAGAGAGGGGAGAGAGGAGGGAGGAGGCAGAGGAGAGAGAGGAGGGAGGAGGCAGAGGAGAGAGGAGAGAGAGGAGAGAGAGGAGGGAGTAGAGAAAGAAAAGAGAGAGGAGAGAGACAAGAGAGAAGAGAGACGAGAGAGAGGAGGGAAAGGAGAGAGAGACGAGAGAGAGGAGGGAGAGGAGAGAGTAGAGAAAGAAAAATAGAGAGGAGAGAGACGAGAGAGAGAAGAGAGAGGAGGGAGAGGAGAGAGAGGAGAGAGGAGAGAGTAGAGAAAGAAAAATAGAGGAGGAGAGAGAGGAGAGAGAGAAGAGAGACGAGAGAGAGGAGAGAGACGAGAGAGAGAAGAGAGAGGAGAGAGAGAAGAGAGACGAGAGAGAGGAGAGAGACGAGAGAGAGAAGAGAGAGGAGAGAGAGGAGAGAGAAGAGAGACGAGAGAGAGGAGAGAGAGAAGAGAGAGGAGAGAGGAGAGACGAGAGAGAGAAGAGAGAGGAGAGAGACGAGAGAGAGGAGGGAGAGGAGAGAGTAGAGAAAGAAAAATAGAGAGGAGAGAGACGAGAGAGAGAAGAGAGAGGAGAGAGAAGAGAGGGAGACGAGAGAAGAAAGAGAGGAGGGAGAGGAGAGAGGAGAGAGTAGAGAAAGAAAAATATAGAGGAGAGAGACGAGAGAGAGGAGAGAGAGTAGAGAGTAGAGAAAGAAAAATAGAGAGGAGAGAGACCTTTAACCTGGTTTTAAACATTGTCAGAGAGGAGGCCTGTCTCACATCTTCAGGAAGACGGTTCCAGATTTAATTTTATTTAAGTGTTATTTACTCAGGAAAGTCCTACAGAGTTTAACAACCTCTTTGTCAAGGAGGTCCTGGACAAGACGCAGCTAAAGTTACACACAATTATACAGATATTCATACATAAATACAGATTTTACAAACAGTCACTTGTCAATGTGCACGCCTCAGTCTCTCAATCTAGACCTAAAAGCTAAAAAGTTCAGTTAATTTACGGTATTTTTGCCTTTTCTCCCAGTTCTGTGCAGACAAAGAGAGATGCTGATAGAATGTATAATAATAATTACAGTAGTTATGGTTTTAGCAAATGACTTTTTTGCCCTTATTATTGAGACACATTCAGTAAATCGTGCAAGAGCAGCAAAAAAAACAACAGCAGTCAATTCGACGGCTTTTAGTTTTGAAAGTGTCATTAATCAGCGTGTGAATATTTTTGGTCTTACTTGAAATGATCGTTTATTTTTTCACTATTCTACCTTTTCTTTCATTTTCACGTGGATGTAAAATTCTAATGTGAACAGTCCCAGTTGCTAGGTAACCAACTCTTTACAGCTGCGAACCCCCCCTAATTTCAAAGGTACTGGTCCTGGACTGGTTCTGGTTCTTGTCCAGCTTGATTTTCCACCAGAGAAGTGCTCGAGCTAGTTACCGTAGCAACACACTGTTTACTAGCCACAGTTAGCATTAGCATTTTCAAACAAACTGTTTTTTCCGGTTTTAAACAGTTTTAGCATTCATTACAAGTGAGTAAATGTAAAAAAAAATGTACTTTTAATAATTCTGGTGGAAAACCAAAACACTTTTAGGGGAATATCTCAGGATTCCATTGGTTTGAATGAGAGCAGTCAAAATGGCCGCTCTGAGAGTTCCAGTAGTTTAAGAATTCTGTTAGTGTCTTAGCGTTAAGCAGATTCTCTTAGTTTACCAAATTTATTTAGATTAATTATAATTTTTAAATATCAAAAATGTGTAGAATTAAGTTGTATTAAGCTGTATTTAATTCAATTCAATTCAAATAACTTTATTAATCCGTGGGGAACAGAGCACCAGCGGGGGCATATAAAAACACACACACACACAAGATCTAAATATAACTGCAGTAAAAGATAAATGCAATACCAGCTGTTTCAAAGGCCAAAAGCTGGATTTAAACTCTGAATATTGGATCTTTACTCAGCGTCGAAAAAGAGCCAGTGGGTGGAGAAGGAGGAGAGGGCGAAGCAGCTGAGGGAGCAGCAGCTGGAGGAGCGACGGCGCCGGCTGGAGGAGCAGCGGCTGAAGGCGGAGAGGAGGCGGGCGGCTCTCGAGGAGCGCCAGAAGCAGAAGCTCGAGAAGAACAAAGTAAGACCTGCTTTTCATTTGCTCGTCTGTCGCAGGATCTGGCACCCGCTCGATGATGGCTTCATTTGTAGAGAGCACGTTTAGAGCAACAGCAGCTTCACACGCACAAAAGACAAACACGTAAATACACACAAAAACATGTGACATATTAAACTGTATACACTCCAAAATGCATGTATAATGTATAATGTAGTGTTTAGACCTAAGGACAGAGAAAAATTAGAACACTCAAGTGTACAAGCTTCAGTGTGGCGTGTAAAGACCCACAAGTTTGGAACGAGCTGAACATTAACATTAAAACCGTAAGATCTCTGGCTATTTTTAAAAATAAACTAAAAATTGAGCTTCTAGAAAAGTATAATAAACCCTAGCTGATGACCTCTAACAAGACTTATGTATTTATGTTTGATCGTAATATGTAATGTGTGTAAGCAAAAAAATAAAAAATAAAAATAATAATAATAATAATAATAATCCGTACCTTTTAAGTAAATTGATGTAACTCTAAGCTAGTAAAAGTAAGGTAAGGCAGTTTTAATTAGAGCAGGTAAGGTTAGTTAGTAGGTAATAGAATAGGTATCTAGGGTAATATGTATAGGTTACTAATGTATGTTTGTGTTCTTAATATTGTGTATTGTCTTGGGTCCCATATATAAGCTAAATGTTGCTTCAAGGGTGTCCCGTTTATGAATATGCACTATCATCTATAAATGGATGTTAAAATGTCTTTTACTGTATATTTGTAATAAACTGAACTGAACTGAACTGAACTGAACACTCATTTGGTGTTAAAAGCCACGGTATGCTAATGTGTCCTTTGAGTAGATGTACAAGTCTCAGTCTGGTCCGCTTAAAGGAGCAGTTTGTAAAAAATCTGACTCAGGTTGCCAGATATGCTGACAAATGAAGCTGGGACCATAACAGCTGAATAGACAATAGTTTTGTCAACAACAAATCTATAACCAACACATTTTTCACAAAGATAGAAATCCTAGTTTTTTTTCCTTGTTTAGCTCGACGCAGTGAGTTCTGGCAACCCGGATCACAGACTTTCTGAGGGTTTGCTAATGAAAAGTAAACCGGAAAAGTGTAAATTCAGTACCACCATACTAAAAAGACAGCGGTCTACATTACTACACAGAAAACATTCATTTACATGCAATACATTTTGAATCATGTGATATTTTCTCTCAGTGTGACCCACATAAGGCTGATCTGGCATCCTAAAACATCTATACTTTTATGCTCAGCACAAAATAATGATGAATTAGTTCTCTGTTTGAATCATAAAACTAGGTCTCTAAACTATACAGATGTCTAGTCTGTTTTAAAGCAGTGATAAATAACTTAAATATTCATCTTTAAATCAGATTCAAATTCAATTGGTCCATACTACATCTAGATTCTGTCAGTGTGTGAAAAATGATAGTTGTTATTATTATTTAAAAAAAACTCTCCAGTATTTCACCTTTTTCCTTCCACCTTAGGAACGCTACGAAGCCGCCATCAGCAGGTCGGCCAAGAAGACGTGGGCAGAGATCCGGCAGCAGCGGTGGTCGTGGGCCGGAGCGCTGAGCCAAAACTCCAGTCAGAAAGAAAGTGAGTGTGACTGGGCTCAAACAAGTGTGGCGCCATCTGGTGGAGAGTTTACGAACTGCAGCCTCTCCACTTCACTGTCTGTCGTTATGTGAGACTTGTATGTTTCTGGTGCAGGGGATAAAATACAACACAGAACTTTACTGTAGAGGTTCACATGTTAGCAATTATTTTTTGGGCCTTAAAAAAAAAAAGTATCTACAATGGCGGGTCAATATAGTATATATCGATCTCTATTTATGTATCTATCTGTCTCTCTTTCTCTCTATCTATCTATCTATCACTCTATCTAACTGTCTATTTATCTATATATTTATCTGTCTGTCTGTCTCTTAATGCTAGGATCAGGAATGGATGGCAAAGTAAATTAGCTCAGTTCAGAAAAGTCCACTCTCAGACTGCTCTGTGTTGAATCCAGACCGTCTGAGACCTTATGGATTTGCAGAGGTGTTGTCAAACGGTTTCTCCTAAACCAGCATCAACTACATCATGGTACTGTGTGAATATTGGCTTTGGTTTTAAGAAGTGATTTAAAAGAGGATGGTGCTAGCCTTATTGGGTAAGCTCTCTCTCTGGCCTCTCTAAGGTCTCTCTCTGGTCTCTCTCTGGCCTCTCTCTGGTCTCTCTCTGGTCTCTCTCTGGCCTCTCTCTGGTCTCTCTCTGGTCTCTCTCTGGTCTCTGTCTGGTCTCTCTGGTCTCTCTCTAGTCTCTCTCTGGCCTCTCTCTGGTCTCTCTCTGGTCTCTGTCTGGTCTCTCTCTGGTCTCTCTCTGGTCTCTCTCTGGTCTCTCTCTCTGGTCTCTCTCTGGTCTCTCTCTGGCCTCTCTCTGGTCTCTCTCTGGTCTCTCTCTGGTCTCTCTCTGGTCTCTCTCCGCTCTCTCTCTTCAGGCAGGTGGTTCCAAAGCCGAGGAACCTTGACAGAGACCTTTTCGACCTCGGGAACAGTCATCAGGGACCTTCCGAGGATCTAAGGCCACGGGGGAAATTCTCATAGGGAGTTAAAAGTTCATTAATACAGCGGGTGCCAGACCTAAACAAGCTTCAAAAGTAATCAGGCTAAGGCAGTTGCCATCACTGCTGCCTATTGGATCTGTGTCTCATCCTCCAGACATGGCAGCCTCTCACTGCTGCTGCTGCTGCTGCTGCTGCTGCTGCTCTTAATGCGACACAGAGATAGTTGTCCGCCTCAGTCCGTGTAAGCTGCTCTTGGCATTTTGGCGTAGTTAAAGAGTGGTCAGTCTGCTCTCGTGCTCATAATCGCCTCCGCCATATGCCAGGGGAATTATTGACACTCAAAGCGTTGCCAGGCCCCACCTCTTCTGCCCCGAGCACGCCGGTCTGCCCCGAGCACGCCGGTCTGCCCCGAGCACGCCGGTCTGCCCCTCTGTGGATGAATGGGGTAGTACAGCGCCCGGGAAACTGAAATTTATTCTAAGTAAGGCTGGAACAAGACCACTGGACGGGAACAGGCAAAACCAAATCCATGTTTACTATTTACTGTGAAGAATATGTATTGAAGTCAAATTATATTGTACATTTCTGATCTTTTTCCACTCAAAAACATTTATGAGGGTTATGGATTATAGTAAAAATGATCTTTGACAAATCTCCTTAGTAAGTATAGTGTGAGACAGGTCTTGACTGCACATGGTTAACCATCTGTGTTTCTTAAGCTGTTTTTTAATGTGTTTTGTGAACATTGTTGACATAAGTACACATTGGTTTGATTTAATGAACCCAGCTATACTTCCTGTTTAGTTCTTATCTCCCGTCTGCCGCAGTCCTCTTGACCAGGGGGGGTCAAACTGGTTCCAGAAAGGTCCGGTGCTGCAGATTTCTCTGTTTGGTGGTATAACATCTATAGTTTTACCTTTTCAAAGAGGCCAAACTAGTTCTTAAAGGGCCGGTGTGTCTCCAGGTTTTAGTTCCAACCGAGCAGGAGAGAAAAACAGCAGACTCCACCCATTTCCTCAGATAATGAATACGCTTTTTTGATTTCTTTCTGCTCCTTTTCATTTGTGTGACAGCAGGACTACAATTGTTTGACATGAAGTTGTAACTTAGACCGAGACCTTGACAGATTTTTTTGATCCACACGGGAAATTGTGTTGTCACAGTAGCTTGCATAGTATGTCACACTAGAAATAATAACAATAAAGCAGGCATGTCCAAACTCAGGCCCGGGGGCCAATTGCGGCCCTCTGTGTCATTTTATACGGCCCTCTGCTTTGCTAAGTTCACAGTGTAATCCAGACATGTTGTACCTGTTTGTGAAGTTCTATTTCTCTGGAATCCGTTGACTAACATTTATTTTTTATTGTATGGTGCTGATCTGGTGAGTAAACCTTTGTCATTCAGCCAACTTCAGCTCTGTCAAAGATTAACCAATAATCATTTTACACCTAATCTTAAAGCTCTGAACATACTTTACCCAGTTAACCCATGGTGTCGGCCCTTGGGCATTTTTGGTGAACCAAATCGGCCCCTTTACTAAAAAGTCTGGACACCTCTGCAATCGAGTAACTACAGTATGTGCTGTATTGTCACGTCCACGCTCAAAACGAAACAAATAAACGGACAAATCTCCGGGTTTCAGAGACTTACCGAGAGCTGACGGTTCCCTTTGTGTAAACTCTTGTGTAAATGTGTGTGGCGCTCTTTTGGCTTTTTAGGCAGATGCTCAGTGTCTACGGTCAACCTGCCCAGACACGTGGACTCAGTTGTTATAAGCAAGCGCCTCTCCAAGTCCTCAGCCACACTCTGGAACTCCCCCAGCAGAAGTAAGACCACATGTGGGACGCCATCTCTTTCCCGATCGACCCAGGAACGTGTCCCCTCCTCCTTCATCTGTCATTGTTGTCGTTTTGTTGTCGCCTGGTGATGGGAATCTTGTGTTGTCATTAATTTTTTTTCTTTCCAAAGCACCGTGTCATGTGACCCTGTGTCTGGGCTGTGATTTATTCTGCATGGGTGTATATTTTAAGTTGTGTATTTCATTTCATTTGTGGTGATGCCATTTCATATTGTTTGGTGTGTTCTTGTAGCTGCAGCTGAATGTGGATGTTCAGTGTTTGGGTTTTACCAGGTTTGAGGGTCTGTCTATCTTTTTTTCCACCGCTCTATTTTCATGGCATTTCACAGTGCATTGAATTTGAGGGCGCAAAAAAAAAATTAGAATTTTTTGTTGAATGTGTGTGTGTTAAATTTTTTATCACATTGAAATTTTTAGACATTGAAATGCAAAAGGCAAGACCTGCTTTTTCAGGGTTAAAAAACTAAAATGGAGGAATTCAAGCTGCTCTGAAATTCAACATATCTGTCCAGCCAGAAAGTGTTCCCACTGTGAGACAAAACCAGTTCTTTTTACCACAAAATGTATTCAGAAAACTACTTCCTACTGAAATCTTTCTGCCAACTCTATTCTAGTCGATTATTATTGAATTGAATAGTTAAAAAAGTTAAAATATGAGGTAATACTAACTTCAATTGAGTTGTTTTTATCTTAATCCAGCAATTTTTTGACTTATTTTCATCCGTTTTTGCAGTGTAGGCTTTAATTACAACAACAGAACCTTACAAAGTTGTCAATTCCGCAACACCAGATCATCTCACAGTGACACAGGAAATGCTGAATTACAACTTTGCAATTTGTCTGAAAGAACTGCTGTTGTGATTTAGGGCTGTACAAAAACTCATTGAATTGAATAATAACAAACGCAGAGGAGCCATTGGTCCATGGGAGCGCCCACTGTCCATAAGCATAAATAAATGTCCTTAAAAGTCCTGGATCCTCGCCGTCCTGAGACCGTCCTGAGACCGTCCTGAGACCGCCCTGAGACCGCCCTGAGACCGTCCTGAGACCGCCCTGAGACCGTCCTGAGACCGCCCTGAGACCGCCCTTAGACCGCCCTGAGACCGCCCTGAGACCGCCCTGAGACCGTCCTGAGACCGTCCTGAGACCGCCCTGAGACCCTCCTGAGACCGTCCTGAGACCGCCCTGAGACCGCCCTGAGACCCTCCTGAGACCCTCCTGAGACCGCCCTGAGACCGCCCTGAGACCGCCCTGAGACCGTCCTGAGACCGTCCTGAGACCGTCCTGAGACCGCCCTGAGACCGCCCTGAGACCGTCCTTAGACCGCCCTGAGACCGCCCTGAGACCGTCCTGAGACCCGTCCTGAGACCGTCCTGAGACCCGTCCTGAGACCCGTCCTGAGACCCGTCCTGAGACCGTCCTGAGACCGTCCTGAGACCCTCCTGAGACCCTCCTGAGACCCTCCTGAGACCGTCCTGAGACCCTCCTGAGACCCTCCTGAGACCCTCCTGAGACCCTCCTGAGACTGTCCTGAGACCCTCCTGAGACCCTCCTGAGACTCTCCTGAGACCCTCCTGAGACCCTCCTGAGACCCTCCTGAGACCCTCCTGAGACCCTCCTGAGACCCTCCTGAGACTGTCCTGAGACCCTCCTGAGACCCTCCTGAGACCCTCCTGAGACCCTCCTGAGACTGTCCTGAGACCCTCCTGAGACCCTCCTGAAACCGTCCTGAGACCCTCCTGAGACCCTCCTGAGACTGTCCTGAGACCCTCCTGAGACCCTCCTGAGACCCTCCTGAGACCCTCCTGAGACCCTCCTGAGACCCTCCTGAGACTGTCCTGAGACCCTCCTGAGACCCTCCTGAGACCCTCCTGAGACCCTCCTGAGACTGTCCTGAGACCCTCCTGAGACCCTCCTGAAACCGTCCTGAGACTGTCCTGAGACCCTCCTGAGACCCTCCTGAGACTGTCCTGAGACCCTCCTGAGACCCTCCTGAAACCGTCCTGAGACCCTCCTGAGACCCTCCTGAGACCGTCCTGAGACCCTCCTGAAACCGTCCGGAGACCCTCCTGAGACCCTCCTGAGACTGTCCTGAGACCCTCCTGAGACCCTCCTGAAACCGTCCTGAGACCCTCCTGAGACCCTCCTGAGACCGTCCTGAGACCCTCCTGAAACCGTCCGGAGACCCTCCTGAGACCCTCCTGAGACCCTCCTGAGACCCTCCTGAGACCCTCCTGAGACCCTCATGAAGGACTCAAAAAAAACATGAATAATATTTTTGCATCCGAGTTTGAATCTGTCAAACGGACGATAATTGTAAAGTCTGATTCACTGCAAAATATGATAAAAAATGAGTTAATAATAGCTTGAATCGGGTTTTTATCCCAATTTGTACATTCTGACTGTGTTAAAACAAAATTCTCCAACGAGACAAAGCCATTTAGTCTTATTTAAAGAACTGTTGCTTTCTTTCCTCATTCCAAGTGAGATATTTCTTGTATCTTTTTAAAACAAGATCATTTTGCTTTGTCCCATTGGTGAATCTGGTTCTAAGGCTCAGTCAGAATGTGCTCAAAATAAGATACTTTTTACCAAATTTGAGCAGTTTTTGACTTATTTTTCCTGGCTTTTTGCAGTGTTGTGGGTGATCTCTGTTTGTGTGAGAGTTTAATCCTTGCTCTTGTTCCAGACCGGAGCCTGGCGCTGAGTCCGTGGGAGAGCAGCATCGTGGACCGGCTGATGACGCCCACGCTGTCATTCCTCGCTCGCAGTCGCAGTGCGGCCAGTGTCCTCAGCAGCAGCAAAGACGGGCGTGAGTTTACACTGAAAACCCACAGTCATGTGATCAGCTTACTCTGGTCTGGACCAGAGAGAGACCAGAGAGAGACCAGAGAGAGACCAGAGAGAGACCAGAGAGAGACCAGAGAGAGAGACCAGAGGGAGACCAGAGAGAGACCAGAGAGAGACCAGAGAGAGACCAGAGAGAGACCAGAGAGAGACCAGAGAGAGACCAGAGAGAGACCAGAGAGAGACCAGAGAGAGACCAGAGAGAGACCCGAGAGAGAGACCAGAGAGAGACCAGAGAGAGAGACCAGAGAGAGACCAGAGAGAGACCAGAGAGAGAGACCAGAGGGAGACCAGAGGGAGACCGAGAGAGAGGCTAGAGGGAGGCCAGAGAGAGACCAGAGAGAGAGAGACCAGAGGGAGACCAGAGAGAGACCGAGAGATAGGCTAGAGGGAGGCCAGAGGGAGACCAGAGAGAGACCAGAGGGAGACCAGAGAGAGACCGAGAGATAGGCTAGAGGGAGGCCAGAGGGAGACCAGAGAGAGACCAGAGAGAGACCAGAGAGAGACCAGAGAGAGACCAGAGAGAGAGACCAGAGAGAGAGACCAGAGAGAGAGACCAGAGAGAGACCAGAGAGAGACCAGAGAGAGAGACCAGAGAGAGAGACCAGAGAGAGAGACCAGAGAGAGACCAGAGATAGACCAGAGAGAGACCAGAGAGAGACCAGAGAGAGACCAGAGAGAGACCAGAGAGAGACCAGAGCGAGACCAGAGAGAGAGACCAGAGATAGAGACCAGAGATAGACTAGAGAGAGACCAGAGAGAGACCAGAGAGAGACCAGAGAGAGACCAGAGAGAGGCCAGAGAGAGGCCAGAGAGAGACCAGAGAGAGACCAGAGAGAGACCAGAGAGAGACCAGAGAGAGACCAGAGAGAGACCAGAGGGAGACCAGACCGAGAGAGAGGCTAGAGGGGGAGGCCAGAGGGAGACCAGAGGGAGACTGAGAGAGACCAGAGGGAGACCAGAGGGAGACTGAGAGAGACCAGAGGGAGACCAGAGGGAGACCAGAGGGAGACTGAGAGAGACCAGAGGGAGACCAGAGAGAGACCAGAGAGAGGCCAGAGAGAGAGAGACCAGAGGGAGACCAGACCGAGAGAGAGGCTAGAGGGGGAGGCCAGAGGGAGACCAGAGGGAGACCAGAGGGAGACCAGAGGGAGACCAGAGGGAGACCAGAGGGAGACCAGAGGGAGACTGAGAGAGACCAGAGGGAGACCAGAGAGAGACCAGAGAGAGGCCAGAGAGAGAGAGACCAGAGGGAGACCAGACCGAGAGAGAGGCTAGAGGGGGAGGCCAGAGGGAGACCAGAGGGAGACTGAGAGAGACCAGAGGGAGACCAGAGGGAGACTGAGAGAGACCAGAGGGAGACCAGAGGGAGACTGAGAGAGACCAGAGGGAGACTGAGAGAGATTGCAATGTTTTTCTGTATAGTCAGGCCACATACTGTATTTTTTGTTAATTATACATGATTTGACAAGTTATGAATACTGATACTGAATTGTGGCTCAAATATTGCAATACTGTTGAGTCGTCACTTTTTCCCCAATCCCCCTCCCAAACAAATACACATATACAGGCTATGTTTATGTTTATGTGTGTGTGTGTGTGTGTGTGTGTGTGTGTCGTCCACAGATGTGTGTCCTCGCTCGTCCTCAGCCAGCCCCATGGCCCTGTGCTCCCACCAGCCTCACCACCGCTGCTCCGAACGCTGGAGAGTCACGTCCAGTACCCCAGACATCCTCCAGAGGCAGCGCAGACGCAGCTCCACGCCGGTACGATAACACACTACCCACACACACACACACACACACACGGATCATGTACAGATGTAAACATACAACTGGATATTTCATGCACTAGAATATACAGCGTTTATACTTCTTTATAATGCTAATGTTAGAGAATTTTAGTTTAGAGTTATGGTTCTAGAGAGTCCAGAGAGAAAGCAGAGAGAGAGCCCAGAGAGAAAGCAGAGAAAGATCCGAGAGAGTCCAGAGAGAGAGCAGAGAGAGAGTCCAGAGAGAGAGCAGAGAGAGAGTCCAGAGAGAGAGCAGAGAGAGAGTCCAGAGAGAAACCAGAGAAAGAGACTATGGAGTCCCAAGAGTGTCCAGAGAGAGAGACCCGAGAGAGACCAGAGAGAGAGACAAGGGAGTCCCGAGAGAGTTCAGATAGAGAGACCAGAGAGAGACCAGAGAGAGACCAGAGAGAGAGTAGAGAGAGACCAGAGAGAGACCGTAGAGAGAGACCAGAGAGAGAGTAGAGAGAGACCAGAGAGAGAGTAGAGAGAGACCAGAGAGAGAGTAGAGAGAGACCAGAGAGAGACCAGAGAGAGACCAGAGAGAGACCCGAGAGAGAGTAGAGAGAGACCAGACAGAGACCAGAGAGAGAGTAGAGAGAGACCAGAGAGTGACCCGAGAGAGAGACAAGAGTGAGAGACCAAAAAGAGACCAGAGAGAGACCCGAGAGAGAGTAGAGAGAGACCAGAGAGAGAGTAGAGAGAGAGTAGAGAGAGACCAGAGAGAGAGTAGAGAGAGACCAGAGAGAGACCAGAGAGAGACCAGAGAGAGACCCGAGAGAGAGTAGAGAGAGACCAGACAGAGACCAGAGAGAGACTAGAGAGAGACCAGAGAGTGACCCGAGAGAGAGACAAGAGTGAGAGACAGGAGAGAGACCCAATAGAGTGCAGAGAGAGACAAGAGTGAGAGACCAAAGAGAGACCAGAGAGAGACCAGAGAGAGACCAGAGAGAGAGACAAGAGTGAGAGACCAGAGAGAGAGAGAGCAGAGCGAGCCCTGAGAGAGGTCTTTCTTATGCTTAACTTAAAGAATTTAGATTAATTTAGAGTTAATCTAAATTCTTTAAGTTACGGTACGGCACGGTGGCTGAGTGGATAGCACTCTCGCCTCTCAGCAAGAAGGTCCTGGGTTCGAATCCCGGTCGGACCAGGGCCTTTCTGAGTGGAGTTTGCATGTTCTCCCCGTGTCTGCGTAGGTTTCCTCCGGGTACTCCGGTTTCCCCTACCACTAAAAATATGTCCAATAGTTCTGGCATGTGCCTCCTGTACTGGCCCCGCTCACATCTCTGTGTGGAGTGAGAGACAAGTGCCCAAAATTAACAATTGTAAACCGCTTTGAGACTCAGATCTGCAGTGAAAAGGCGGTATATAAATAAAAACGTACTTACTTACTTATTCATGTATCTGTAACTGATGATGCAACACTGACATTTCCTCCTCACTGTGGAGCCAAACAAAGATCTTTATAACGTTCAGATTTCCAATACCTTAAACTTGTCTTGCACTTTTTTGCAGATGGATAAAAACAAAAAGGAGAAGAAGGACAAAGAGCTGGAGAATGAGAAGGAGAAAAGTGCTCTGAGCAAAGAAAAACTCAAGAAGAGACAGTCTTTGCCGAGTATGAGACACCGGCCGGATCCAAGGTCAATATTTATTATTATTACTATTATTATTATTATTTGAAGCGAGAGTTAGTAAGTTATGTGTATTTATATAGCACATGTTACAGACCGAGGTCACCCAAAGGTCTTTACTATGTCCAGAAACCAGATATTTGTCCATTCAGACTCAATGATGACAATTGGTTTGAAAATTGAGAAATGAGAGGGACCAGAGAGAGACCAGAGAGAGACCAGAGAGAGACCAGAGAGAGACCAGAGAGAGACCAGAGAGAGACTAGAGAGAGACCAGAGAGAGACCAGAGAGAGACCAGAGAGAGACCAGAGAGAGACCAGAGAGAGACCAGAGAGAGACCAGAGAGAGACTAGAGAGAGACCAGAGAGAGACTAGAGAGAGACCAGAGAGAGACCAGAGAGAGACCAGAGAGAGACCAGAGAGAGACCAGAGAGAGACCAGAGAGAGACCAGAGAGAGACCAGAGAGAGACCAGAGAGACCAGAGAGAGACCAGAGAGAGACCAGAGAGAGACTAGAGAGAGACCAGAGAGAGACTAGAGAGAGACCAGAGAGAGGCCAGAGAGAGACCAGAGAGAGAGACCAGAGAGAGAGACTAGAGAAAGACTAGAGAGAGACTAGAGAGAGACTAGAGAGAGACCAGAGAGAGACCAGAGAGACCAGAGAGAGAGACCAGAGAGAGACCAGAGAGAGACTAGAGAGAGACTAGAGAGAGACTAGAGAGAGGCCAGAGAGAGACCAGAGAGAGACTAGAGAGAGACTAGAGAGAGACCAGAGAGAGACCAGAGAGAGACTAGAGAGAGGCCAGAGAGAGACCAGAGAGAGACCAGAGAGACCAGAGAGAGACTAGAGAGAGACTAGAGAGAGACTAGAGAGAGGCCAGAGAGAGACCAGAGAAAGACTAGAGAGAGACGAGAGAGAGAGACCAGAGAGAGACTAGAGAGAGACTAGAGAGAGACTAGAGAGAGACCAGAGAGAGGCCAGAGAGAGACCAGAGAGAGACCAGAGAGACCAGAGAGAGACTAGAGAGAGACCAGAGAGAGACCAGAGAGAGACTAGAGAGAGACTAGAGAGAGGCCAGAGAGAGACCCGAGAGACTAGAGAGAGACCAGAGAGAGAGACCAGAGAGAGACTAGAGAGAGACTAGAGAGACCAGAGAGAGACCAGAGAGAGACCAGAGAGAGACTAGAGAGAGACTAGAGAGAGGCCAGAGAGAGGCCAGAGAGAGAGACCAGAGAGAGACTAGAGAGAGACTAGAGAGAGACCAGAGAGAGACCAGAGAGAGACTAGAGAGAGACTAGAGAGAGGCCAGAGAGAGACCAGAGAGAGACCAGAGAGAGGCCAGAGAGAGACTAGAGAGAGACTAGAGAGAGACTAGAGAGAGACCAGAGAGTGAGACCAGAGAGAGACCAGAGAGAGACTAGAGAGAGACTAGAGAGAGGCCAGAGAGAGACCAGAGAGACCAGAGAGAGACTAGAGAGAGACTAGAGAGAGACCAGAGAGAGACTAGAGAGAGACTAGAGAGAGGCCAGAGAGAGACTAGAGAGAGACTAGAGAGAGGCCAGAGAGAGACCAGAGAGACCAGAGAGAGACTAGAGAGAGACCAGAGAGAGACTAGAGAGAGACTAGAGAGAGGCCAGAGAGAGGCCAGAGAGAGACCAGAGAGAGGCCAGAGAGAGGCCAGAGAGAGAGACTAGAGAGAGACTAGAGAGAGACTAGAGAGAGACTAGAGAGAGACCAGAGAGAGACCAGAGAGAGACTAGAGAGAGACTAGAGAGAGGCCAGAGAGAGACCAGAGAGAGACAAGAGAGAGACTAGAGAGAGACCAGAGAGAGACTAGAGAGAGACTAGAGAGAGGCCAGAGAGAGACTAGAGAGAGACCAGAGAGAGAGACCAGAGAGAGACCAGAGAGAGACCAGAGAGAGACCAGAGAGAAACCAGAGAGAGACTAGAGAGAGACCAGAGAGAAACCAGAGAGAGACTAGAGAGAGACCAGAGAGAGACTAGAGAGAGACCAGAGAGAGACCAGAGAGAGACTAGAGAGAGGCCAGAGAGAGACCAGAGAGAGACCAGAGAGAGACTAGAGAGAGACTAGAGAGAGACTAGAGAGAGACCAGAGAGAGAGACCAGAGAGAGACTAGAGAGAGACTAGAGAGAGACTAGAGAGAGGCCAGAGAAAGACCAGAGAGAGACCAGAGAGAGACCAGAGACAGACTAGAGAGAGAGACCAGAGAGAGACCAGAGAGAGACTAGAGAGAGACCAGAGAGAGAGAGACCAGAGAGAGAGACCAGAGAGAGACTAGAGAGAGACCAGAGAGAGACCAGAGAGAGACCAGAGAGAGACCAGAGAGAGACCAGAGAGAGACTAGAGAGAGACCAGAGAGAGACCAGAGAGAGACCAGAGAGACCAGAGAGAGACCAGAGAGAGACCAGAGAGAGACCAGAGAGAGACCAGAGAGAGACCAGAGAGAGACCAGAGAGAGACCAGAGAGAGACCAGAGAGAGACCAGAGAGAGACCAGAGAGAGACCAGAGAGAGACCAGAGAGAGACAAGAGAAAGAGAAACCAGAGATCCATTACTATTTCCCTCTAAGAACACATTGTGACACATCTCTTTTACCAGTTGAAGCCTCTTTGACCCGGTTTGGCCTTTGGTCCGGGTCAGAGGGACTGCACTCGGGGGGACAGAGATTGCGTCACTGTTTTTTCAGATAGAAATCAAACTCAGATAAAGAGAGAATGTCGTAAGAGCTGGTTTGATGCTGGAGGCAAAGTGGGAGAGAAAAGAATCTTCTTTCAGTCGCTGTTGACGACGCAGAGACCGACCAATGGCACGGCTCACAGATGATGTCATGTTTGTGTTCGTCTGACGTGAACCCAGAGTGTCACGTTTTCTAAGAACGCTCTGAGCTTTATGTCAGAGTAGAACATAAAAACATTTCAGAGCTACCCGAGTCAGAGTCCTGCAGAAATACAACACATAATACATACAGTACAGATGTTTCACAAATACACGTTTTTTTCCAGTGTAACGTTTACTTTGATCCTTCTTCAATGGAATAATTGTATATTTATATAATTTACTGTTTTGGTTGTTTTTGCTGAAGTTCATTTTCCCTCTCAGGTTATATTTTCAGTCTCTTATATTAATTGGAACATATATTTAAAATGTTGTCTTTCAGGATCTATATAAATTGCATTGACTAGTATTGTATTTTTTCTTATTCATATTTTTTTTTTTTTGAACTTTATTGTGATAACACACAAAAAACAGAACATGAACATTGTCCTGAGACTGGGCTTAATAAATCATTCACTCATAAAAATAAATAAAAATAGAAGAAAAATAAAAATAAAAAAAGAGGGCCTAGGTTAATGTCCTATTTAAGAAAGGTAATCAGAGGAGCCCATCTTCTTTCGAAGATGTGGTTCTTTAGTTGCAGTTGTGCTGTCAATCGTTCCATCAAATAAACCTGTCTTGTCCTTTGTATCCATTGTGTAATTGTTGGCGGCTCAGGTTTTAACCAACAAATTGTTATCATTTTCCTTGCTGTCATTAAGAGTACATGAAGAAGAAATCTTTGGTCAGGGGTCAGATGATCTGGAAAGATGTCCAATAAAAATATTTGGGAGTCCAAAGAAATGCTCACTTTTAGTACATCTTCCAAAACGTCCTTAATGTTCCTCCAAAAGTTATGTATTTTAGGACAATCCCAGAACATGTGAGTGTGATCTCCGACAAGTCCACAGTTTCTCCAGCATTTGTCACTCCTGTTACTCTTGGTTAGGAAGGATTTCAATGGAGTCCTAAAAAATCTGGTTTTCATCTTCCAATCAAACTCCTTCCAGACCTGACTACTCACACCCTTATGACAACCAGAACAAATGTCAGCCCACACATCATCATCCAAGGTAACATTCAACTCCATTTCCCATTGCTGTTTTATGTGATGTGTGTTATCTGACATGTCCATAAGCATTTTTCTGTACATCAAGGACACTTGTTTTTTCATTACCCCATCATTTTCAATCAGATTGATAAAATGTTTCTCTATATTTGGAGAGTCTCTTCTAGTCAGCTCCCAATCATCATGTTTCATTACATAGCTCCTTATTTGTAAATACTTATATAGATCACTTGAATGCAACTTGAACTTTGCTCTTATTTGGGCAAAGGTTTTAATAACTGTTCCTTCAAACAGCTGATTGATTGTCAGGAGACCCCCTCTGCCCACCTCTGAAAGCCACCGCCGTCTGATAAAGATGGAAGGAATTCAATATTTCTATGAATAGTCATAGCTCGAGATAGAGCAACCTTTCCCTTTAATTTCTTTTGGATCGTATTCCAACATTTTAATGTACATTTGACCCATATATTTGTGATTCTTATTTTTTTCTGAGACTGCAGGCTAAGAAATGGGAGCTGAGAGAGAGGGATCCCCGGCACAGAATATTCTTCCATAGATACCCACTGTGAATCCAAATTGCGAATGATCCATGCCACCAGAGCTTTCATTTGGGCAGCCCAATAATATAATTTGAAGTTAGGCAAATTCAAGCCACCGGATTCTTTAGAAGACATTAAAATTTTAAGACGTACTCTTGGTCTTTTGTTCTGCCAAATGAACTTTGACATTAATCTGTCTAAAGATTTGAAAGTAGAATGTGGTATAACAATAGGGAGGTTTTGAAATAGAAATAAAAATCTAGGAAGAACATTCATCCTTACACATTCAATTCTCCCCAAAAGGGAAAGAGGTAGTACATCCCATCTATTTAAGTCAGTTCTAACTTCTTTTAATAATTTGTCATAATTGGATGAGAACAACTGTGTGGTCTTTGGAGTCAAAATTATTCCTAGATATCTGAACCCTTGTTTGGAGTGTCTGAATGAGACAAGATTATCCAACTGCACTGGCCAAGCTCCAACAATCATTTGAGCTTCAGATTTATTTGTATTTATTTTATATCCCGATATCATACTATACTCCTTAACACTGTGAAGCAAGGCTGGTACAGAAGTGATAGGGTTTTCCAGAAATAATAGAATATCATCAGCAAAAAGTGATAATTTGTGTTGAACATTGGATTCATCTCTTATTCCCTGTATGAGAGGATTTGATCTTATCATTTCAGCTAACGGCTCTATACTTAAAGCAAACAGAGAGGGCGAAAGAACTTCACCCTGCCGAGTGCCACGTTCAAGCGGAAAAAAACTTGAGCAATGCCCATTAACCCTTACACGTGACCTTGGGTTTTTATAAAAGGTTTGGACCCACCCAATGAATGTCTCATTGAAGCCCATGTGCCTCAATGTCTGTTGCAGGAAGCCCCAGTCCACCCGATCAAACGCTTTCTCAGCGTCCAGACTGAGAAACATTGATGGGGTGTTCCTTTTCTGTGCTACAATTTGGAGATTTAAGGCTCTTCGTACATTATCAGTCCCCTGTCTATGGGCGATAAAACCAGTTTGATCTGGCTTCACCAGTCTTCCAATATAGTTTTGTATTCTGTTTGCAATGATGGCAGTGAGTATCTTTAGATCAACACAAAGGAGACTGATGGGGCGATAAGATGCACACAAAGTGGGGTCCTTACCATCTTTATGAATGACACTAATAATAGCTTCCGACCATGACTGAGGAGGATCACCCTTTGAAAGTGCATAGTTGTAGACTTTATCCAGAAGAGGCGTGAGCTCTTTTTCAAATACCTTATAGTATTCTCCTGGGAGGCCATCCACTCCTGGAGACTTGTTATTTTTGAGTTTTAAAATACTGATTTTTATTTCCTCTCTTGTAATTGGACGTGTCACTAGGACTGCTTCCTCCTCAGTCAGTCTGGGAAGAGTCATTGAGTTGAAAAAATTATCAATTTTTGTATCCTTATTTTGGCAGCTCTCTTCCTTGTACAATTCTTGGTAGTAAGTGGCAAATGCCTTTGCTACTCCTTGGGTTGAGATATAACAATACCCCAGTATTTGGGCACTTGATTTTATGAACAACTCTGTTCGATTGTTCTTTTTGCAGCTGGAATGCCAACAGTCTGCTTGCCCTGTTACCAAATTCGTAATACTTTTGGTTTGTGAATCGAAGCTCCCCTCTGCTTTCCTCTGCTTCAGTAGGTCATTTAATTCTGTCTATTTCCTTTAGCCTATTTGAATATACGCAATTAGTTTTGTACTATTTGGTATTCCTTTTCTCTAAATTTTTAACCTCCTATCCAATCCTTCTTGTTCTGCAAATCTTTCTTCTTTAGTTTCTGATAATTAGCAATAAATATTGCCCTCTTAAGACAACATTTGGCTCCCTCCCATATTACCTGAAATGTTTAACAGCATCTTTGTCATTAATTGAATATACCTCTAGTGATGGACCATTCCTTCTTAATGTGATGTTGGATTCTCATTGTTAAGCAAGAGATACATTTTCCTCTCAGGTAAACCTAAATTACTTTTTGACTCAACTTAAATTGTCAGAGATACTGGGAGCATGATCTCTGTAGATAGTAATAGGCTTCATCGAACACTGGGTCACTCACTATAAGAATCTGTACTCGCATCAAAACATATCCAATCTTGAGTGACTACAGTGTACAATGTGAAAAAAAGGAAAAAATCTTTATTTCCTTAGGATGCAGGCAGCGCCAAACATCTTTTAAACCTAACTCATCCATCTCAGTGCACAACAGGGTTTGAGACGTTCCTGGTTACCGGACCAAAATCAGCAGGGACCTATCTACAGAAGCTTTCAGAACACAATTAAAATCTCCCCACCACAAGAATAATCCCTTCTGCATTGTCAGCTATCACTGAATGGCAATGTTTTTAAAGAAAATAGGAAAGTCCTCATTAGGACATATACATTTCGTAAAGTAATTTTTACGCCCCCCTTATACATCCAATTACCATAAGGAATCTTCCCCTCTGCTTGTCACTGATAGTTTGCCGTCATGGCAAAAACACACTGACTTGTTAAAAAGGATAGCAACACCTCTTTTTCTCCCGCTTTGGGTGTGATGGATCTATATTGGTTGGTCTAGCCCATTCCTCTCCTCATCGCCTTCATGGTGTTCCTTGTCTGAGAGATCTTCCTGAAAGCATTTTATGCGTCAGAGAGTTAAGCATTTTTACAATTGGTTCCGCACTTTCTTCCTATATAATCGGACTAGCCTAAGCCTTTAACCTTGTCGTAAACCACCTTTTATGTCCTCCATATGTTATTATGATATACATTCAAAATAACACAACATTGTTTTAGAATTCACATTTAGACATCGATAACACAAACAATCAATACAGATAAGAAAATTAGAATGCCCCACAAAGCTCAAGGACAATAGAACCTTTAAAACTGAAAACAGAGCGAACAAGTGAACAATGTAAGCTTCCACATACCCTTACTGGATCAAATATGAATCTCCGTGAACTAAATCAAACTTCGAGCAATCCACCCCTGGTGTATATCGACGGAGGCGGGTGACTGGTCGCCGCGGGGAATAACACAACGATCTGTTGTATCGCTGTCGCTCCCAGACTCTTCGCCCGCGACTTGGACGGGATAGGTCCATCCACTATGGGTTCCATGCGTCCTTGTCCATGTGAAAATCTCTATTCTTCCTCTCCTAACGTATTATGCTGGTTTAACGTGGTAGTTGAACTCGGCGCAGTGTGTCCTTTTTCTCGGTTCTGATGAAAAATGTCTTTGATTTTCGGCGTTGGTGAGAGTCGCTGGACCCCTGTTGGCTCTCTTCCCCGACTTGAGACTCCACCCTCTAGCTTAGTTTCG